TGTGTCTTAATCCCAACTCTACTTACCAACTTAGCAAGAAGGCAGAGCGGAGTTGCAAGAAGATTGGTGCACTTGTGCAAGAAGCTCGTAGATCATTTGAGGACATCCCACGAGGAGATCAGAATGAGGCAGTCGATCGTTTTGAGTACTTAAAGCCGATGGAGGCTGTTTTGGACGAGATTTTGGAGGCACTGCAATGTCCTAGCATCAACACCATAAGGGTGTATGGAGATTCTGGTACGGGGAAGACCATGCTCGCCAGAGAAGTGAAGAGAATAGCCCAGAAACAGAAGTTATTTGATGCGGTTGTTATGGCATCTGTAAAGGGGAACCCCACAATCCAAGATGAAATTGCTCGTGACTTGGGTGTTTCTAATAAACTTACAGATCAGGAAGCTTCCAATCCAGGAAAGATAAGAAAGCTAACAGAAAAGAAGGTCCTATTGATTTTGGACGATATTTGGGAGCAAGAAATATATTGGAAGTTGCATGAAAAACTTCCTTTGGAAGATGAGAATGAGAACAGGTTATTATCTTACAAAATTTTGCTGATTACTAGAGATAACCGTGTTCTTTTTGATTTATCTGAAAGACAATTTGAGATTAAACCATTAGAAGAAAAAGAAGCATGGATTCTGTTCAAGAAGATAGCTACTTACCGAACCGAAAGTTGTAGTTTGCCATTTTATTCAAAAGAGATTTGCAAGAGGTGTTACGGTTTGCCCATTGCTGTTGCAACACTTGCAAAGGCCTTGAAAAGTGGCAAACTAAGGCGGAAGACTGCTCTACAAAAACTACAAAGCCAGCCAAGCCTTCATTCAGGTTTCAATTTAATTTATGATGGTTTGCAAAGCTCCGAACTCCGACTAACTTTCCTGCTTTGCAGTCTAATGGGTCATAATGCAGCTATTCAAGATTTGTTGAAATATACCATAGGCTTGGACTTATTCCCAGGAGTCAAATCCGTGGAGGAAGCACGAGATGCATTACTGAATTCGATGACTAAACTCAAATATTCTTCTTTGTTGCTGGATAGTGGTGGCAATATGCATTTTGATATGCATGATCTTCTCATGATATTTGCCAAATCAATTGCTTTTGGAGAAGTTGGAGTTGGACTGAACAACTGGGGGGAAATCGAAAAAATCAACTGGATTTATTTATCAAATACTAGTCAGCTTCCAACAAAGTTGAACTGTCCGAAGCTCGCTTTCTTTCATTTGTCTAAAGAGGATCCTTCTAAACCAATTCCACTAGACTTGTTTAAAGGAACTAAAGGGCTCAGAGTCCTGGGTTTGACTAAAACTTGCTCAATGCCTCAGTCAATTTCCCTTCTAATTGACCTTCATACCTTGCGTCTGGATCAAAGTGTGTTAATAGATGCAGACATGGGAGCAATTATAGAAGAGCTGGAGAATTTGCAAGTCCTCAGCCTTGTGGGATGTGATCTCGAAGTGCTGCCGAAGCAAATAAGGGAACTAACTAAGCTGAAGTTGTTAGATTTGAGTGATTGTACCAAACTCAAAGTAATTCCAGGAGGTGTCCTGTCAAGGTTGTCCAGATTAGAAGAACTATATATGAGAAACAGCTTCGATCAATGGGCGGAGGGTGTTGAGGAGAAGACAAAAGAAATTGCTAGCCTTTCAGAGTTGAGGCAATTACCGAACCTAAATGCTCTAGAGGTACAAATTAATATTTGTGATGCCGTGGTGATTACAGGAGGCTTGTTCTCTGAAAATTTGACAAGATACAAGATTTTCCAAGGAGACAAGTGGCACTCCTGGGATAGCTCTAGTGGAAGTTCAAAAATATTGAAGCTAGGTCTAGATGGAAACTTTTTTTATGAGCAGTCAGTTCGGAATTTGCTGAAGAAGACAGAGGAACTACATCTACAGGGGACTAGTGTTGGCTGGGATGTTACTGATTTAGATAGCGAAGGTTTTCAAAACTTGAAGTATCTCTTTATCCAAGATGCTCGGAATGTTAGATATATTTCATGGGGGCCTGCATTTCCCGTATTGGAGGTATTAGTTCTTCGTAATTTGGAGAATATAAGGGGGATATGCCGTGGTTCGGTTACAGAATCATATTTTCGCAAATTAAGAAAGATAACGGTTGAAACTTGTAATCAACTACAGAATTTGTTCTCCTCCTCTATAGCCAAAAATCTTCTCCAACTCCAAGAAATTAGAGTGACAAACTGCAAAAACATGGAAGAGATTGTTGATGACCAGGAGCAAGGGGGCAAAATTGATAAGGAACTGTGGTCCTTGAGATTAGAAGACCTACCAAATTTGATTGGCTTCAACAGTAGTTGCAAGAAAAAGACACTTTTCGAAGAACAGGTGTCTGATTAATTTCTTTTATTTCATTTTTGTTCTCATCCAAGCCATCTCCTCTGCATTACTCGTTTGTATTCTAGTTAGACATACCTAATCTTTTTTTTTCAATCAACAAAATGAGAAGCACTTATTAGGAAAATAACATTGTATATTATGTAGGTTGCATCTTCCAGTGGTGGTCAGCAGTTTGGATCTTTCAGTGCTGGTAAACTGCAGAAATTGATCATTAAGGGATGTGATAAATTGGAATACATATTCTCATCTTCTATGGCTCAAGGTCTAAATATGCTGGAACACCTTGAAATAAGGAAATGCAGCAGTATGAAAGAGGTCATTTTTACAGATAATAATGGAGAAGAAAAGAATTTGATTTTCCCTCAGTTGAACATTCTGGAGATAGAAGACCTTGAAGACTTTGTCAATTTCTATTCAGGAAAGTGTATTATTGAATTCAAAAAATTGAAGAAACTGCAAGTGTTGAACTGCCCAAAATTGGAGGGATTCATTGCAAACACACAGACACTATTTAATGAACAGGTACGTTTTCCTCATTTAACTTACATTGTGGCTTTAAATCTCGAAACTATGTACCCGTCTTTATTCTTTCACAGATTGGGACAGATTGCATTTTGGCTACAAATTTAGACAAATTTGTTAAATCTATTTAATTAATTAAAATGAAAAAAAAAAAAAGGCATTTAATATTTTGCATTCTAACTTTCTTTGATAAAAAAAGCTGAGGATGAAAAAGAAGTAGTTATCCAAAACAGGGCATTCATATTCAATTCAAACCAATTGATTCAACTCAAAAAGAACCAAATAAATTAAGGATTGGTTTTGAAAAAATTTCAATTGATAAAATTAGTTCAGTTTATGGTTTTAGCTTCAATTGATGGAACCAAACTAATTAAAAAAATAATTTAATTAAATAATATTATTTTTCTCTTTTTCCTATTTTATTTATGAATTATACATTATTATGTTGGTTTATAGTACTAGTTTTGTGGGATTACTTGGTTTAGTTTGTTGAATGGTCATTACCTTCTTTCCTTTTCTTCTTTTTTATTTTTTATTTTTTTATTTTTTTATTTTTTTATCTTAAATTGTATAATGGAGGATAATTCTCTCACTCCCTAAACCTACTCCACCTACATACCATGTGATTCAAACTCCATGTCTCCTAGGAGAAGTCCCAATAGTTAGGAGCTTGAACGTATATGTTTGAGATCTCAAGTTCAAATTATGAGATAGATGGGGAGGGATTTGGGGAGGAAAGAGTTATCCCCATTGTATAGCTCATCATCTAAGGTGCCAAAAAATAGTTTAATCAAAGCATAAAAAATTTATATGAAAGGAGATTACATCAGGCTGAGTTTTCCAACTTGAAGTTACCTTCAATTGGCATTCATCAAAACTGACAGAAACATGCTTTTCACAATGTCTTTTTGTGTTTAAGAACTAAGAATCTATTTGCAGGTTGAGTTTCCCAACTTGGAGTTTTTGAGGCTATCTTCACTTGACAGTAAGCAAATCTGGCACATTTCAAGTGAGCAAACAGCTTCTGTTAAAAACTTAAAGAAGTTGTTTGTGGAGGGTTGTGGTAATTTGGAGTATCTATTGAGATCCTCTATAGTTAAGAGTTTTGAACAACTCAGGGCGCTCAAGATTTCTGACTGTAAGATGATGGAAGGGGTAATAAAGGAAGAACAAAGGATGTGCGAGATTTTCTTTCCAAAGCTGGCCACCCTGGAACTTGAAGACCTTCCCAAACTCACAAGATTCAAGTGCCTTTCTGCTGCCAGTATTGAAAATGTAGAAAATACTTGTATATCATCTCTCTCCCACAGAAAGGTAATTTCTTCTTTGTTTTCCCCTTTATTTTTCAGTTAGTTACACCTCATAGATTTTGTACTTTTATATTAGATTCTAAAAATTTTTATTCTAACCAAGAATCTCTTTGAAGGTTGAATTTCCCAAGTTGTTGAGACTCTCTTCAATTAACATTCAACAAATCTGTGATCTTTGGACTCCAAAAATCCCTTCTTCTATACAGAATTCAAAAATCTCTCTTCCTATACAGAATTTAAAAAAGTTGTCTGTGGAAGGTTGTGGCAACATGAAATATCTATTAACTTCCTCTATGGTTATGAGTCTGAAGCAACTCATAATGCTTAAGATTTGTGATTGTGAAATGATGGAAGCGGTAATAGATTCAGAAGAATCAAATGAAGAAACAATTTTCTTCCCTGAACTGCTCAGCATAGAATTCGTAAACCTTCCAAAGCTCACAAGATTCTATCATGCAGAAAGTAGTGACACACCACCTCTCTTTAATGAAAAGGTGATTTTTCTTCTTTGCCCTTTTTCCCTTTAGTTTTCAATTAGTTTAACCTCATAAAAATTTTGATTTGATCTAAAAATTTATTATTCCAACTAAAAATCTCTTTGCAGGTTGGATTTCCCAAGTTGAAGATTTTAAGCTTGTCTTCAATTGACATTCAGCAAATCTGGCAAATTTCGATTCAGAAAATCTCTTTAGAAAAGCTTTTTGTGAAGGATTGTGGCAATTTGAAATATCTGTTCTTGTCTTCTATGGTTAAGAGTTTTGAGCAACTCATAGTGCTCAAGATTTGTGACTGCAAGATGATGGAACAGGTAATCGGCTCAAATGAATTAGTGGAAGAAGAAATGATGTGTGAGATTTTCTTCTCTAAACTGGACACCCTAGAACTTGAAGACCTTCCCAAACTTGCAAGATTGTGTCATGGAAATTACCCTAAATTTAAGTTCTCCAAGCTTAGACGGTTCACCATAAGCAAGTGTGCTGTGTTGAAGACGCTTATAGGAGACAATACAGTCGGCACTGAAAATGTGGAAAATACTTATACACCATCTCTCTTTGATGAAAAGGTGATATCTTCTTTGTGTTTTTCCCTTTTATTTACAGTTAGTTTCACCTCATAAATCTTTTAAAATTTTAAATTAGATCCTAAAAATTTATTATTTTATAATCTTTTTATGTGTTCCCTTTCTCTAATTCTAGTTGAATTATAGTTACTAATGCAATTGGATAAAATTTTTAGGTGGAATTCCCTAGATTAGAGCGGGTGATAATCAAGTTTATGGGGAGTTGGTCCAAGATATGGGACGAGAAACATGATGTGAATTCTTGTTGCCATCTAAATTCTATTACTGTGGATTCATGTGAAAAGCTGTTGAATATTTTCCCATTTAGTATGCTGGAAAGAGTACGTCAGAAGCTAGAAACACTGGAGATACAGAATTGTGATTCACTAGAAGTGATATTTGGTGCTAGCCAACCGCAAGCTCAGATAACCACTCAGCCAACTAATTTGGTGGAAATTGCCGAAAGGATTCTATTTCCAGAATTGACACACATAAATCTTTCTAAGCTACCCAAACTGAAAGGCTTCGTCCCTGAAATGCATATTAATGAATGGCCATCATTGAAACAATTACGGGTGTACGGATGTGAAGTTCAGATACTTGCTTCAAAACTCCCAAGTTTTCTAGGAATAACTGGAGATGACAAACTTCAGATTCAGTGGATAAGCACGGTAAAAGCTCTAATATTCTACACGCACCAAAAAAAGAAAAAAAAAGCCAGTGTAAGATGCACTTGCTTTTGAGTTAAAGCTATTTTGTTCACTGAACATACTCAAATTGAGGTATACAATTAATGTTTTGCAATTTTATATCCTTCCAGTTCGTTGTTTTGAAAAATCAAGTTTTTTTTTCTTTTTTAAAACATTATAGGAAATGAATAATAATTTATATTAATTTGAAGTAAATTGTTTGAATTTAACTTTTTTCTCTTTTTTTTGGTGGTTATATATATATATATATATACTCTTTTCCGATTTATTAATCCATGAATTAATAAATATTCAAAATCTGCATATGTTTTTATTTTCTAATTTTAAATTAAAAATTAAACAATTCTTGTTAATATATACCACATATTACTCTCTGTTTTGTATTCTGTATTTTATAACTAGTTAAATTAAAATAAAATGTGCTGCTTGACAAATTGAATACAAGTTGATATAATTTTTCATTTTTATAATTTAACACATTTTTACTAACTTTAAAAAGTACTTGTACATCTTTTAGTGTAGCTGTGACTTGACATAGATTTCCTTTCTGCTAGTAGTCCTGAATTTATGTCTATACAGTAGTAACTACAAAGATTATTGCTCATAGAAATTTTACAAGACTCGATGGATGTGACCTAGGTATTCAGTGTTTCTTTTCCTGGACTATGCTTGTCAGAGGATTATCTTCTGGTTGGGAATATAAATAATTAATGATGATTACGTTTATATATGGATCCTTCGGTTCCCCTTTCACCTGAGTCTTTAATCATATCACCTTCATCGCACAGAGAATTTTTTTATACAAAAGGAGTGGGAGGATATGTTACATGCTACCTGCCAGGCACCTCGTAATTCGGTATGACGATGATCCTGACAATTGGAGGTGGTTCAAACCTGATCCCAGGTAGATCTCTCTCTCACACACACACACAACACAACGCACACTCTCATACCCACACCTACAACTAAAAGAATTCAAGCAAATAGACGCTTGATTGTTTAAGTCTCTTTCCCAGCCTAAAATAAATAAATAAATTTGTGATCATAAGAATATTTCTAATTCATGCTTAGAAACAGGTTCCCTGAGGTTGCAGAGCTTCTTTGTAATTTGATCTTGGAAATCCATGGAAGGATTAGTACTCGCATGCTTTCTCCAAAAACACGGTATAAGGCTTACCTTGTATTCAAGCTGGCGGACAAACCTGATAGCTTTCAAAATAAACCTATAGAAGCTGCTGTTCTACTTGGTGGAGCTGAAGTTTCAAAGCGAAACGTGTACGAGCTGCAGGCACAAAGTGGAATTGCAGGAAGTGGTGATCAGTTTCCAGAAGAGAGGGAAGATAATTGGTTTGAGGTAGAATTGGGTGAAATGGAATTCACGAAAGAAAGAGGTGATGATCATTTGGAAATACACCTTGTGGAGAAAATATTTGACAATAGGCGCGGTGTCATTATTCAAGGCATGGAGATCAGGCCAACTTAGCAGGAAATAACAAGATTTTCTTTCACATTGTGTATTTTATGTGTGGGAGGAATATTGTTCATCGTGTTAAATTATGGTCAGTTCTATTATAGTCTAAGCGTGGTCTTTAAATCTTCATTTGATCAATGTATCGCTAATTTGTGGTGTTAATTACTAAGTTTGAAGTGATTTAGAGTGTTTAATTGTCTGAGAGAAGAATGCTTTAAACTGGAATTTATGATTTTAATTCAGCTACATTTAGTGTTGGTTAATAAAATATGAAGTTTGTATCAATTTGGTCCAAAATCTTAATTTTTTTTCCCTCTGCAGTCAAGACACTAAAGAAATCGCACAAACAATGTTATTGTCGTTCATCATCTGTCAATTTGATGGACAGAATTTCACGCAAGGGCTTATCAATTGCTCAAAACCCTGGAAGATATTTTACAAAACTTTAGATATCTTAAGAGAAACAAATGAAAATGATTATTGCCACAAACCAAATACGACTACCCTTCGTATGAACTTACAGACTCTTTTTTGGGCCAACAAACATAAAAGTCCTGGACAAAGGACACGAACCAGAAAGGGAAAAATAGCACTTGAACAAAGCAGGAACAATAACAAAACACCAAAACACCCTGATGAAATCCTGCAAAAAGGAGACAAGAAGACAGGGGAGCTCCTGCCAGAAGCTGCACATCCTCTTAATAATAGGCTTTGTTTGAAGAACATATCATCTACTTCACCTTTAGTCATCTGAAATACAGCACCATAGAGAGGAACTAAGAAGTTGAGACTAGCTAGTTCGTGCAAAGCAACACAGCACCTCCGAGGAGAGACCTCATACTAGTGAAACAGAGGAAAAACCAAATTGAGCAGGGGAAGAGAGACCACAGTGGAGCAGTAGCATACAAGGAGTCCATTTCTGCTTATGACAAAAAGTGGAGGAAAAGAAAGGCCACCAGAGTAAGTATATGATGACATGGAAAGATAAAGATCTTGCTGCCATGCACCCATACCTCTCCCAGCTGAGACACCGTCTCCAAATTGCCCTAAAACAACTCCTTGCCACCATTAATCTGATGCCATTATCAAGTAGACAAGTAACCCTATAACAAATATTTTTTCTTTTCTGAAAAGAACAACCTAAATCACCAAAATCCTTTGCAAAATAGCCAATCTCATATTTTAAACTATCCTCCAGGGATCCATAATCATCAATGTAGCCCTTCAAAACAATCTTCCCAATCTAGCTAGTCATAAGTATAAGAGCTACCGGGATTGACAATCCAAAACAAGACATAGTTCTCCTATATACATCTGCCCCCAAAGGATCATACAAATTGATTTGCATTCATACTTTGTATATGAAGAAACAATGTCCAAAATTGCAAAAACACATTTTCTCAATGAATTGAAATATTCCCAACAGCATCTTAGACAAAATACTAACAATTCTAACAGCATAACTCAAGGAAATTACCCCAGGTTCATGAAATATATCCTGATTGCTACTAATCCATGGTTAATTGATAAATAACTCTTCAGAAATGGTTTCCCTCTATGAAATTGAAAACACATAAACATATGCAGAAACAGGTAAATAGAGGGAAAAAGAACCTGGAACACAAGGAATGAATCCACATCATCAGTATCCCTTTACACAATCCAGCTTTTTCAGTTGCCCAAATTTCCAAGGGAAGGACACCTAGGCTAACTCCGAGATTTATACTTTTCCGATAGGCCAATATGACTTGGAAGGATTATGGACTTGAAGTGAAACTTCAAATTACTTCAATCAAATGTCAAATGACCCCAATCACAGTCTTTGGGATGAAGATACTCTTCTGGGGAAAGGGTCTGAGATGATCCCTGATTTGATTTAGAACCCAAATCCCACTGCAAATTGCTATAATCAGAGGCTCAAAGCATGAGATTGGAATTCTAGGGTTTATGATGAAGGTTGAAAAAGGAACAACACAGAAACTATTTTTGGGGTTTTGATACCGAAAGGGACAACCAAGAAACATGATATGGAAGGCAATGAAAGAGATGATGGTATGTACAATGAAAGAGAAGAAAAACAATTGAAGTTAGAAGACTAACAGAGACTGGGAACACCCAGCAGTGACTCCCGTTCAGGAAGCAGACACCCTCATTTTTTGGGAGAGAGCGAGAGCCCTAGCACTTTGAACTTACAGGCTTGTTCACCTAATTAAATATGGAATTTAAGTCCTAAATTTGGCGGTTCTAACTATTTGACTTATGGCAATAATCATTCCCATAAAAATGTGTTGTTTTACCATTTGGGATTTGTAACTAGGGGTGTTTATGGTTGGTTTGGTTCGACATTTGATCATTTTCCCTGCCAAACCAATCTAATCTTTCTTAATATATTACTGTATAAAAATTGTTAAATTCTTCAATAAATCTCAAATAAACACAATGAGTCTTTTAAAATTTTTAGTAAATACCATATAAATACTAATGGACCTTTTAAAATTTTCAAAAAATATCAAATAAATGCCCAATGGGTCTTTAAAAATCCAAACTCAATAATATTTTCAATAGTAATCTTTCCATAAGTGTCTTCACTATTATATTTTCAATAATAATAATCTTTCCTTTTAATACAATTCTACTTCAATTTGACTTTAACTACTTTAATTAT